GCCCCTCACCCGCTCCCCCTTCAACGCGGTGCTGCTGGACAAAGCGGGCACTGACCGCGAGCGCTACATCTCCCCCGTCAACCCTGACGAGCTCTTCATCTTCATTGACACGTACCTGCTGAGCGAGCGGGAGGCAGCACGGCGGGAGCAGAGCGGGGACCCTTGCGAGTGAGGAAGCGCCGGTGAGACACCCCCCTCCACCGCTGCTGACCTCAGGGGATGGACACCTTCCTTTCTGCTTTTCTAGTCACCCACTGCAGAGGACCAGGGTGCTGAGAACCTCCAGGGGAAGGGGAGCCCCTCTCCAGCTGCTCTGGCACAGAGGTGATCAAGGTTGAGGGATATGTGCCCGCAGTGTCCCCACCGTCCAGCAGCCAGGAGCAGCCTGCAGGGTGGGATGGCTCAGCCCTGCCAGGGCCATGGTGGGAGAGACTGTAGTGCTTTGCTCAAATCTCAGGGCAGGGGAGGGACGACGAGCTGGACACCGAGCTGCCGGAGCAGAGGAGAGTGGCAGAGCAACAGTGTGATGGAGTCTAACACAGTTGCTTCAACCTCCCAGCAGCCATCCTCAACCCGTGCACACTCCAAACCCACTCCCTCCCACCCTGGGGTTAGCCATGCAGGGCCAAGTGCTGCTGCCAGGGTCCTGCTTTATTAAAAGCAAACGGCCTCAAGCTTAAAGCCAGCTCACAGCCAGGCTCACCCCTCCCATCCTATTCCTCACCTCCCCTTCCACACCAGCTGCAGGACATCCTTCCTGGGAACGTTTCTGGCAGCAGAATATTAACTTTAAATAAATAAATCTGTATAAAAAGCCAGTGCTGACAGAAGGTGTGTCACAGAAAGGCTTGGGAAATCAATCTTTACCTGGGGGACTGCTGTCCCCCTAAAGCTGATCCCAGACAGCTCCATCCCAGCCCCATAGCCAGTGCTGGGCTGGGCACAGCTGCCCCAGCCCCAGAGCAGGCAGCATGCTGGGGGAGAAGGGTGGGGAAGGCGAGGAGGGAGCAGACTATGAAACAGAGGGGGTGGGAAGAAGAAGAATGGAAATAAGAAAAAAAAAACAACCAACCCACGCCACATTTCAAAGCATTTTGCCCGAGGAGGGAAAGAAGGGAGGGTCTATGAGGACTCCAGTTCAGCCTGGAATTTAGTGCAAAGCCTAAGACAAAAGGAAAACCCTTTAAACAAAGCTAAGCCAAGAAGACTTTCTGCCCAAGCCTGTTTAGAGAAGGTCATGTTTATTAAAGTATAAGAAAAAAAATAAACCAAAACAAATCCAGCCCACATTTGGCAGCCCTGACTGCCCTCAGCCAAGTCCCAGTGCGACAGCCTACGGCCTCAGCTTGGCCATTGTGGAGCGGAGCTGGAGCGTCCCCTCTGCCCATGAGCCTGGGTACTGGCACATCTTCTGCCACAGGTTCAGCTCCTCGCCCATGGAATCCATCCAGTCTACAGGCTGCCCGTTGCTCATGCCTGGAAGAAAAGACACATGTAGGTGGCAGAAGTCACTGCTAGAGCAGCCTCCTACCTGCAGGAAGGCAGGTCCAAGCAAGTCTGCTTGCCCTCAGGGTTTGATGGGACTGCAGGGCTCCTCACCATTGCCCACCCCCAGACGGACACCCCCAAGGAAGTCATTGCTGGACAGTGGTTCTCGATCCCAGACCGTCAGCTCCAGGCAGATGTGCTGCAGGTCCTCGGGGTTGACGCCATTGTAGACAAACGTGTGGTTGTAATGAGGGTTCAGAGTCTTCTTCACCACAGGTGTCTTCCTCTTGGAGGCTTTGTTTTTGTGTGGCAGGAGGTAGCTGGGGGAAGCAGCCCGTTAGGTTAGTACGGTGTGTGGAACTGCCTCCTGGCCCAGGGGCTGGGGCACCTCAGCACCCCAAGACCCGGCCTGGAGCTCACCTTCCGCTGTATGGCTCAGGAAGAAGGAACACAACAGTCTGCAAGGGGCTGGGTCTTTGCCCTGCCTCCTGAAAAGCCACTCAGCAGACTGCAAACAGTCTAAGCAGAGAAGAGAGCAAGGGCCAGAGCCTGGTCAACCCCAGCCACGCTGCCCGGTCACTTGGTGACGTCTGGGAAGATGATTTGACAGCAGCTCGTGCCCTGCACACAGCCTCCCACCCTGACTGCTCAACCAGCCAAAACCCAGGAGAAGATCTGCTACCAGGAGCATCTTGCCCCTGAGCAGATGGTGGCTTTCAGGATACCGATGCTGGCAGTGCAGGGAGACCCTTCTCTCTCCCAGGCCCTCACGGCAGCTCTGGGAAGCAGCCAGGGAGGACAGTGCCTTCACTGCCCACTGCCACCCAGGACCCCCACTCACCCCTTGACAAAGCTGTCCGAAGTTCCTCCGGATTTGGCAGCTGTGAGGTTCTTGGCTTCTTTGATCCAGACCTGGAGCTCCCCACCTTCCCCTGTTTTGCCTGGAAAAAAACCAACACGAGAATTAATCAAACTTAATTTCCACCACCTCAAATTTCTGGCAAGGTCTTGCCAAACAACCTTCACCACAGAAGCAGGTACAGATCCCCAGCTAGTATCTCCTGTTGTCTCCTTCACAGAATCTCTTTGGCTGGAAGAGACCTTTAAAATCATCGAGTCCAACCACTGACCTAGCACTGCTAGGTCCCACCTGCCAAGCTGAAGGCAGGTAACTGCTTCACGTGGCCTCAGATGGTCCACCCTGGCCCAGCCCCAGGAAAGCACTGGGATAGCCTGGCCAGCCTGAGGACAGCCAGATCTGCCCCAGCCTCGTAGGCACTGGAGAGAAGGCTACAGCAGCATCGCCCAAGAAACCCACCCAGACCCAGCTCTCGCCTGGCCACGAGCAGGTCCTAGTCCAGACAGAGATTCTGGAGCCCCAGCACTCACCCTTCCTGCTACTCCCAGCCCCGGGGTGCTTGGAAGATGGGATATACTTCATGGAGACAACCAGCTCTCCCTTGTACTGAAGAAGACCAGCAGCATCTGACCCGATCTGCAAAGGAGCAAGATTTATCAAACACTTCTAGATAGGCCAAAGCAGACACGGTGATGGCCCAGTCTGCACATAGCACCTCCTCCTGATGGGCCAGAGGGTTTGGCTTCTTCCTAGAGATGGTTTCACTAACACAAATGCCTGCAGATCCTCCCCAGCATCACCAGGTCAGACTCAGATCAGCACCTTTGGGGCAATCATCTGCCTTAGGAAACCCTATTTAGGGTTTAGCTGAGGGCTGAGCCTGCAGTGACTTCATCTAGAGAACCAGACTTAAGCCCAGCAGCAGCATCGAGCTGCACAAAGGCCCTCACTGCCCGGCTCTGCAACCCATAGCACGATGTCCCAACCAATTTCCCCATTTGTTTCCCTCAAGTTGGATCTTATTCCTCCTGGCTGGGGTAGGGACCTAAGCAGAGCTGCGCTCTTGGATCAATCAAGCAACAAGAATGAAAATACCTGATGGGGCACAAACAAGTCCCACAGCCTCACATAGGGGACTTAGGAGGAGGAACAGGGCCAAAGCAGAAGATCTACCCTTTTTTTACTACCACAGTATTGCTGTCTGCTGCTGGAGTCTTCATTCCTCCAAAGATCTGACTTGGCACAAGCCTTTCGGTAGCTCTCAGCCAAGGTTTCCGAGGGCTACCCCCGGACAGGGCCAGGCAAGGGAGGCTGCGGGCAGCAGGGCCGGGGTGGCAGGGTCAGCACCTTGCCGTGCAGGGGCAGAAACTCCTCCAGGTTGCTCTCGAAGTTCCAGGAGCCCAGTGGGACCTCCACCTCTCCCAGGAACGTGTTGCGGCCAAAGCGATCGTGGTGCCAGACCGAGAACTGCAGCGTCCTCGCAAGCAAGAGGGACTTGTTAATCTCATACTAGGAAGAGAGACAGAAAAACCACCAGTGAGCAGGCGGCGCCAGGCAGGGGACAGGCTTGGCACACACCATCAGCCACAGCTCTCAAGCAGGAGACAGGTCTGAGGAGCAACGAGTGCACGCAGGAGACTGCTCATCTTCCTTTCCCAAGACTGTTGAAACCTCAAAGTCCTGGGGCAGTGGTGCA